CGGCTGCCCCACCGAATGTGGCGTCCGTGCAGCGCGAGCGACCGTGGACGCGGGTGGAAGCCAGCAGCCGGTTTGCCCATGGAGCGGGGCTGCAAGGGAGCAGGGTCTGGGATGTTTTGCTGGACGGGCTTCTCGGTGTGCTTTTTACTTCCTACGTATCACTTGAAAGAAAGAGCGAGAAACTTTACTACCAACAGGACCTGTAATGTTTTCCATCGGACCTCTCCCTAGCTGCTCTGGTCTCTTTCCTTTCCCGAAAGGGGACGTTGTGAACTACCTTGGGACTTAAATCACCATCAAGCGTTTCAATTTTTAATATGACAACATTCTACACTTTGGCTGCAAAAGCAATTATTGCGGCTTGTACATCAGTAATTAGCAGGTCTTTGCTGATGTAAGGAAAGTCCTCATTAGGACAAGGAAATAGTTTTTGTGCATTCACCCAAAGGGTTGGTTGTGTTTTGTTGTGGGTTTTGTTTTTTCCTTCGGAAGGTTAATTTTGATCATTTAAAGGAAAAATAGCTTTTACTTTAAATGGGATATTGACTTTCTTTGAACTTCACCAAATAACACATGTACTGTAGGTTTTGTCTCAGTGCTCCCAGTGACACTCAGGGTAGGACAAATACCGCGACTACAAAGTGTAAAGCTAACATTTGCTGAAATTAAAATATCCAGAGGATTTAGAGTGAGCGGTGAGATCCACATTAGCTATTTTTTTTTAATCGGGATATATAGCAAACTATGATCAGATGTTAATAGTTAATATCATATGCTTTAGTATATTCATCTTTGGGGAATCCTAAAAAGAGAAATCAAATACAATGGGTTACAGTAATTAATTTATAAATCGTTTCACTGTGGGAATAAGGGGTTACTTTATTGCTTTCTCGAGATAGGCAGTTCAGTCAATTAAGGAATTCTGCCTATTTCTTGCATTTGAAGCTGGAGAAAACTACGGGAGACAAGTAAATGTGTATATATATGTGCCTCCCTTGCTTTATTGAGCATCTCGGGCCATAAATGTACGGCTACAGCATGGTCGTGTCGCCAATGAACTCTCTCCTCAAAGCCTGCGAGTTTATTGCCATCAGTATTCATGAGGCTGGGCGTACCCACGAGGAATAGAAACAACAGCGAACATTAAAATAAAATCTATTACCAGGCCCGCGCGATTCTGAGCCTGGCTCAAGCCGTAAGCCCGGGGAGCTGGCAGTGTGTGGCGGGGAGAGGGGGGCCACCGGGGGCTGGTGACAAGGGGTGCAGGTCCCGCGGGCCCGCCCCGGGTAAACCCCTCGGGCAGCAGCCCCTGCACTCAGTGCGGCCAAGCAAGCAGCAGGACAGCGGCGGCGCCGGGACCGGCTGCAGCAGCTCAGTAGCGGGAGTTATGGTCAGGCTGCAATTTTTAGCGTTGCTTTAGAAGTTAGCCCAAAGTTAACGCTTTAGCTCTTGAGAAAAAAAAAAATTCCCAAGGACTGAGAAGAAGAAAAGTTTTTCCTTCGGGACTTGATACGCGACAGACCAAACGATGCTGCACAAAACCCATCCTGTCCTTCTTCTCCCCTCTCCTGAAAGATCAGACAGAGGGAAGGCTTGACTGCAATTCCCTAAGGAGGCATCTGCCTCCGGGGAAGCAGGGGGCAGCGGGCCGGGCCGGCAGCAGCCGCCCCAGGAGCCCGCAGCAGCCCGCCTCTTCCCCGGGGTCGGGAGGCTTCGCTGCCCCGCATGTCACCCCCGTCCCTCGGACGGCCGCGACCCGGGCTGCTTCAGTGATGGAGCGAGGAGCCCCTGACAGGGGGTGTGTCTCCAGCCGGGCGGGACTGCTTCCCCCCCGAGGAGAATCCAGTAGGATGCACATCGCAAACTGCAGAGACGGCGTGCCCACCCCCATCCCAGGGTTCAGAAGACACCTCGGAGTTGGAACCTTTAGAACTCCTAAAGGTCCTCACCTTCTCAGCCTCCGGCTAGCGCTGGGGGTAGAGATGGGAGAAAGGCTGAATTCTCTGCCTTTCTGGCCTTAAAAAATAAGCCAGTGAACAGAAGGGGTCGTTTTAAAAGTACTAATGGGGGTTGAGGTTCCTCCAGCCAAGGAGAAGGTCTCGCCCAGCAGCATCTGCCATAGCCGTATGTTCCAGTTCCTCTGGTGGCTGCCTGCCCTGGCTGTCTGCACTCCCTGCCTGCCCTCGCTGCCTTGACCCAGCCCCTGCCCGCCCAGAAGTTAAAGACCCGGCTGCGAGGCAAAGCAAGTGCCTAGTGGTATGTGGGCAGAAAGACAGGTCGCCGCTTAGCCTAGAAATCCTCCCCTCGGCCGCCTTTGCCACCGCTTGCACAATTTTCCCTTCTCTCAGCGTTTTCCTTCGGGAAACCTGATGAACTTGGTCTGACAGCATCCTGGAGAGTGGGGTTCGCGCAGAGGCACACTGATAAGTACCCATGCATCCCAAAGGAAACAGCATCCCACGCCTTCCTCCACAGGATGAGGACGTGATCCCAGTAATCCGCCTCCCTGCTCCGCCGAGCTCAGCCCAGGAGCACCGCGGCTCTTGGCTGGATCTCGCCATGGTCGGGAACAGCAGCCTGCTCGGATCGGGCCTTGCTCCTGGATCTGGGCGCTTTTCAGCAACTTTGGCGAAAAACTGTGATGTCTCCCACTTCCTTACTCCTCCCCATCCCTTTCCCAGGAGGGTTTTCCTTTACAATGGGTGGTAGCTGAGAAGTAGCTAGAATAACTCATAAACTTAAAAAAAAAAAAAAAAAAAAAAAAAGTCAACAAATACACATAAAGTATGATTTGTGGATTCTGATACAATGATTTCGATAAATAAGGAGAGCCCAATCCCAGTTTCAAGTTCACCCCCTTCAGAGATGAAGTTGCATTTCGCTACCCCAGGGGACACGGTAATGGATGGAGACCTGGCTCCCTCTCGCACAAGTAAATTGGCAGACGTTCCCTCCTTCCTCCTGGGCTGGCTAGGGAGCTAAGGAAAGGCTTATGAAGACAAATGTATCTTCACTTGGGGTTGTGGTGTGTGCTGTTGTGTGCGCGTGTGTGTTTTCCTGCGTGACCTTTCGGCTATGTTTATGCGCATAAATAAGAGGCATTCAGGAGAAACCGAACAATTCCGATGCACTCCCAGGCTGTCACATGCTTGATCCAAACACCCTGCTGCCTCTTCCCTCTGCCTGCTTGCCTGCAGCCCTGCTGAAACAAGCAAGGCAGCATCTGATCGGTCACCGAGGGACGGCCCCAAGGGACAGGCAGGATTCACCTTGGGCCGCTCGCTAAGGATTTGTACTAATCTCACAGGCTCAGTAGCAGATTGACTCCTTCCGTAGTTTTGCCTCCAACTTCATAATCAACTACAAGAAAAAATAGAATCTACTCTAAAACGGGACAGGAATCCCGAATCACTCGTAATACCAACAGTGTCACTCCTCAACTGTTTGATTCAAAGGCAAGAGTATTCTAAGGATAAACTACATAAAAGGGAGGGAAAGAAGAGTAAGAAACAGAGAAGGAAGGAAGGGAAGAAGAGAGAGAGAAAGAGAGAGACAGAGAAAGAGAGGAAAGAGAGGAAGAGAAAAAAAGAGCGAGAAAGAGAGGGAGAAAGAAAGAGAGAAAGAGAGAAAGAAAGAGAGAAAGAGAGAGAGAAAGAAAGAGAGAGAGAAAGAGAGAGAGAAAGAGAGAGAGAAAGAGAGAAAGAGAGAAAGAGAGAAAGAGAGAAGAGAGAGAGAAGAGAGAGAGAGAAGAGAGAAGAGAGAGAAGAGAGAAAGAGAGAAAGAGAGAAAGAGAGAAAGAGAGAAAGAGAGAAAGAGAGAAAGAGAGAAAGAGAGAAAGAGAGAAAGAGAGAAAGAGAGAAAGAGAGAAAGAGAGAAAGAGAGAAAGAGAGAAGAGAGAAAGAGAGAAAGAGAGAAAGAGAGAAAGAGAGAAAGAGAAGAAAGAGAGAAAGAAAGAAAGAGAGAAAGAAAGAAAGAGAGAAAGAAAGAAAGAAGAAAGAAAGAAAGAAAGAAAGAAAGAAAGAAAGAAAGAAAGAAAGAAAGAAAGAAAGAAGAAAGAAAGAAAGAAAGAAAGAAAGAAAGAAAGAAAGAAAGAAAGAAAGAAAGAAAGAAGAAAGAAAGAAGAAAGAAAGAAAGAAAGAAAGAAAGAAAGAAAGAAAGAAAGAAAGAAAGAAAGAAAAAGAAAGTTTGTGATTGTTTTCTGCTTGAGGCCACGGCAAAGCAACTTGGGTTTTCCCACCGAGCAGGAGTCGGGGCTGGGCAGCAGGAGGAGATGCCGTCTCACCTCCGCGGCGCTGCCAGTGCAGCGCGCACACGCACGCCCCGCGTGGGCGCAGCGGCTGTCACCCGCGGCGCCTGGCACAGCAATAGGTGCAATAAAACTACACGGGGTGAGGGAAAATTAAATTACAGGGAAAACGATAGCCTCTGAGTGGTTCAAACGAATGTCTGCGCCGTCCGTCTTCTCCAGTAGCCGGTGTACAATTCGCGGCAGGAGCGGGGAGCGGCCGGAGGACACCCCTTTCTTTGGCAGAGCTCCGCTGCGCGGAGGGGCAGCGCACCTTTGTGCTTCAGTGCCGAGGGCCGGGCCGGTTCCCTGCCCCGCTCCGACGGCAGGACGGGGCGCCCAGCCCCGCACTCCGCCTATCCCCGCCCCATCGGGGCGCCCCGGGCCGCGCTGGCGGCCGCGCAGCGCGCACGTGTGGCAGCCACAGGTGCCGCAGCCACCCGCTGCTCGGTGCCGCTCGCTATAAGAGCGGCCCCGCCGCCGCCGCCCCGGCGAGACGGCGAGGGCTGCGGGAGATGCAACAAGGCGCGGGGAGGCAAGGACCGGGGGCGGCGGGAGGAAAAGGAGGAGGAGGAGGAGAGGGAGGAGGAGGAGGAGGAGGAGGAGGAGGAGGAGGAGGAGGAGGAGGAGGAGGAAGGGGGGGAGACAGCTGATGTCTGTCAAAGCCGGAGCCGCCGCGCTCTCGCGAGAGCCCGCCCGGCGGTAGCCACGGGATGCGGGGCTCAGGTGCGGGCAGAGCGCAGCGCAGCGCGCCCGGCGCCGGGCAGCGGCAGGCAGAGAACTGAGTGAGGGAGGGAGCGAGGGAGACGGCGGGGGCCGGAGGGAGCCTTGCCGCCCGCTCGCCTACCCAGCCCAGCCTCGGCCACCGCGGCGGCGGCGGCGGCGGGGGCAGGGTCCGCTGCGGCACCGCCGCCACCACCGGCTCCGCCACCGCCACCCGCCGCTGTCAGCGGCTTCCCCCGGCGGGAGGAGAGAGCCCGGAGAGCACTTTTCCCCCGACTTTAGGAGTGTTTGTGGATTTACATGCCAAGCCTTCAAGATGATGTCCATGAACAGCAAACAGCCTCATTTTGCCATGCATCCCACCCTACCTGAGCACAAATACCCCTCTCTACACTCCAGCTCGGAAGCAATAAGAAGAGCATGTCTACCAACTCCACCGGTAAGGGACAGACAGCTGCAGCTCTCTTCTTTCTTTCTCTCCCTTACACGCACACACTTTTCTTTCTTTCTCTCTGTCTTTCTGTATACTGCATGTATGTGTGTGTGCATTAATAAAAAAACCGCTGCGAGGCACATTTTGACAAGCGGCGCTTAATGTTTTTTTCATGTCTTCCTCTGCAATCATCTGAGCGCCTGTGATCTTTTTTGAAAGCGGTGTTCACACGAGTCTCCGACTTCATCCACTTTCTGTATTAATTTTTATGACTCGGCCTCTGAAAAGGATTGCGTTTTATGTGCTCTTGTGTTTGACACAATTCCCCAGCTGAGAGTTACAGATCCATTTCTTCTCCTCCTTTCTCTTCTCTTTTCGTTCCATCCCCCTCCTTTTAATTTATTAATTTATTTGTCTCCTTCATTCCTTCCTTCTCCCCTTTTCCGATTTCCCCCTTGCCTCCTTACCTTTCTGCTCTTTGCTTCTTTCCCTGTTTTGCTCCCTCTTCTCGCTTCTTCCCCCTCCCATCCCTCCATTATTCTACCCCATACTCCTGTTTCCCCTCACTTCCCCGGGCTGTCGCCTGCTATACCACGCTTCCCCCGATCTCTTGGCTCTTGCCCCCGATCCCATACTCCCTTACACGCTGGTCCTACTGCCGGCTCCCCGGCCGTCACCCTAACTTTGCCCACCTCTCTTTCCCCTCCCTCGACTTCCCCCCTCCTTTTCCACGGCGCTCCCGCAACCCCACGCTGTCCCCTCCCGTCCCCTTCCCCCTCCGCACTTTGCCCCCTCTCTGCCCCCTTGCCCTCCTCTCCCCGCACCCCGCTCTGTTTTGTGTCTCCTGCAGCTGCAGAGCAATATCTTCGCCAGCCTCGATGAGACCCTGCTGGCGCGGGCCGAGGCTCTGGCCGCCGTCGACATCGCCGTCTCGCAGGGCAAGAGCCACCCGTTCAAGCCCGACGCCACGTACCACACCATGAACAGCGTGCCCTGCACCTCCACCTCCACCGTGCCCCTGGCGCACCACCACCACCACCACCACCACCATCACCAGGCGCTGGAGCCCGGCGACCTCCTCGACCACATCACCTCCCCTTCCCTTGCGCTCATGCCCGGCGGAGGCGGCGGCGGAGGCGGCGGTGGCGGCGGCCACGACGGGGCGGGCGGCGGCGGCGGCGGGGCCGGCGGCGGCGGGGGCGGCGGCGGCAGCGGCGGGGGCGGCGGCGGCCTCATCTCCACTTCGGCCCACCCGCACTCGCACATGCACGGCCTGGGCCACCTCTCGCACCCGGCCGCCATGAACATGCCGTCGGGGCTGCCGCACCCGGGGCTGGTGGCCGCGCACCACGGCGCCGCGGGGCAGGTGGCCTCGGCGGCGGCGGTGGTGGGGGCGGCCGGCCTGGCCTCCATCTGCGACTCGGACACGGACCCGCGAGAGCTGGAGGCCTTCGCCGAGCGCTTCAAGCAGCGCCGCATCAAGCTGGGGGTGACCCAGGCCGACGTGGGCTCGGCGCTGGCCAACCTGAAGATCCCGGGCGTGGGCTCCCTCAGCCAGAGCACCATCTGCCGCTTCGAGTCCCTCACCCTCTCCCACAACAACATGATCGCCCTCAAGCCCATCCTGCAGGCCTGGCTGGAGGAGGCCGAGGGCGCCCAGCGGGAAAAAATGAACAAGCCCGAGCTCTTCAATGGGGGCGAGAAGAAGCGCAAGCGGACTTCCATCGCCGCCCCGGAGAAGCGCTCGCTGGAGGCGTACTTCGCCGTCCAGCCCCGGCCCTCCTCCGAGAAGATCGCCGCCATCGCCGAGAAATTGGACCTCAAAAAGAACGTGGTGCGGGTTTGGTTTTGCAACCAGAGACAGAAGCAGAAACGGATGAAATTTTCCGCCACCTACTAGGGGGGCGGGAGGGGCGGGCCCGGCATCGGGGGCACCGGGGGGCCGGGCCGGGGCCGCGGGGGATGCCTACGCACCGCCACCGTCGCCTGAGACGCCGAGGGAGGCTCCTGGGGACCAAGGGACGATGTAGAAATTAAACGCGAACTACTCGGGGAGAGGGGGGGCGTGCGTGTGGGGGGGTGCGCTATCAATTATTAAAACAAAAAAGACACCGGGACACCAATGAGAAGAAGGAGGAGAGAGGAGGTAAAAACGCTCTAGAAGCCCAGGGGGGTCACTTCTGCGGCCCTTTCCCCTCTCTGCCCCCCAACCCCCCGACAGAAAGCGGGAGAAAGAGCAACTTAAAGCGTAAACACACACAGACACACACCAATAAATACCGTGACAGCAACAGCCACAAACCGAGAAACCTAAGTCACAACTTTCCGAAGGAAAAAAAACCCGACCAACAAACCCGGAAGGCGAAACTGTTGGTGATGATGATGCTACGTTTGGTTTGGGTCTCTTTTCATTACTTTCTGCTTTTCTTTCTTTTCCCTGGCTTAGTAATGAATGAGGACAGTGGCGGTTTGGTGCGGGGGAACTTTTTCTTTAGTTGGATTGGGTTTGGGTTCTTCTTTGCTTGTTTTGATCTTTTTTTTTTTCTTTGTTTTTTGTTTTTTTTTTTTCCTGTTGTTTTTTATTTTCCTTCGAACGCGGTTTTGCGCGGGGCTTTGGCGATGAGTCTTGTCTGTGCCGGGGGAACGGTGAGAGCGGGGCAAGGGACGGGACCGGGGGAGCGGCCCCCCGAGGCTAGGGAGCAGTCTCTTTCCTCTCCGTTTTTGCCTCAATAATCCTAACTAGCTCAAGGAAAACAAGGGGAAAAATAGTTACTCCACGACCCTTTTGTCTCTCCTTCCTCGCTTGCGTGGTTTGCGTTTCCAGCTGTGTCCAAAGACAGGTCCCTCTCTCTGCAGAGTTGCATCTGGAGGCAGATGCCAAACCTGCCAGAGCGGGGATGCTCTCCAAAAGATTATGTTCAGACTCATTAAGGCTCATGGTTAACTATGTTCTTTCTCCTCCCTCCCTCCCCGCTGCTCCCAACCGTATGCCCCCCGGCATCCCCACCAAATCTGCTGGATTTAGGTTAAGGTCCTCCCTTGGTTTCCTCCAAGGGCTGGAGGTTATTGCACCCGGTAGGCAAAAGAAATCACCGGTGATAGGTTTGAAATGACATTTGTTTCTGAGGGATGTGCATGCTGGGAACAAACACACGACAAAAAAGAAACCACTTGGGCTTAAAAGTCGTTTATTGTATATCATAAACGTTATGTGGAGGAAGGCTTTTGGAAGGGGTGTGTGGGGTTCAATTTGCACTATCACAGTCTCCTGGATTGGAAGCGATGATGTTATTCTGTAATAACGATGCTGGTATTGCTAATAATCGTCAAGGTGTGTTACATGTCTCACGGATTGGAAACAAACAAAATTATCAGGGTTTGTTAGGTAAAAAAGAGAATGACGTGCAGAAGCCATCTCTGACTCTGTCTCTTGCCGAGAGACTGCTGAGGCTTTCAAATAAAGCAAGAATTTCTGAAAAGAAAATACCATTCCGTTTAAATCAAAACAATCAGTAGACTGAAATTATGCATGACATGACCTGAAAAATAATTTTAAAAAAGAAAAAATAAAAGGAAAGGAAAAGAAAAGAAGGGGGGAAAGGCATAGAAAGATCTGTGATAAAGTCTCGATATTATTTATTTATCTATTTATTTATCTATTTATTTTATTAATATTATTTTTATTATTATTTTGTGTATCATTGTTTGCAGCGCAAACATTCTATGCATTTTGAAATTGAGCACTAAATAGACTAGCTTCTGGTAGAATCTTTTGTGGGTGGTGTAATTTCACAGTTTAACTGCCTGTTTTCACCGAAAACACAAACGTTCTTGTCACGTTCTTGTATTTAGATTTAAAAGAGGGGGAAAAAAAGAAAAAAAAAAAAGATAAGAAAGACGATTGTAAATATTTTCTTTAATGCACAAAACAACAACAAAAACAACAAGGTTACAAACTGCAACCACGTGTGGATCCTAAAATGTCTCACTGAATAATCTACCTGTCCATGTATGTTTGCTGAGCTTTCTCCTTGGTTGTGTCTTTACTCTATTTAATTTCTATCAGAAATATTTCTGTACGCCAAAATACAACAGGGAGATGTGTCCCAGCATACTTACAAATAAAACAAACGCAAAACCAGAATAGTTATTATTATCATTATTGGGTGCATTTAAAAAAAAGAAAACTATTTCCACGGCTAGTAAATTCAAGGTATGGCCGTTAGACGATAAGATTAATTCTACCAAAAAGAAAATAGTGAGAGATGTATTTTTCTGCTAAATCCAGAAATCATTACTTTGAGATAGCTCTTATGTGAAAATCGGTGCTCTGAATAAAATTAACTATATATTAGCTGCGTGTGTTTCTTGAAGTTTATTCTATAACTGCAGAATATAAATCAAAGTAAAATTTTAAGAAGGACTTCTGAAGTATTTCTTTTCAGTGTGCTGGAAAGGATTATGCACCTACAAAATATGTATAAAGAAGAAAAGCTTGGGTGGTTTCAGGTTTATATGTTGTTCTGACTGGCCTAATTGCACTTAATTATGTAACAAGATACTTTATTTTTATTTTGGGTTAATAAATATGAAAATCCTAAACTGATCTCTCCTTATGTTGTGAATGCAATTGTTCATTAGGAACGTATAGGATGCCACCTACTGCTTCAAGTGATCAAAGAACCTCTTTCTATTTTCTGATGACCTGTGACTAGATCAGATGCCAAATGTAAAAAGTTACTTAATAGCTGGGATTATTTCTTCTGTAGACATGTTTTAGCCAAATCTTTTTAATTTTGCCGGTAAATCTGTGAACCAAGACACGTGATGTTCAGAAAAGAATAATACATTAAAAAAAGCTGTGATTTTAAACAACTGTTGATGTTAAAAAATAAGCACTAAAGGTATTTTTAAAAAAACCCATAGATCTCGTCCACCAGAAATTGACTTGTTTCTGTTGTTATTAACTTGAAATGTCATCAGAATTTTTAATAAATGCATTTGTAAAAATATTATTTTATAGAAAAGTATTACCGGATATCATTTTTTGGAGAGTCAGGAATGAACAAATAAAAATAATTACAAATGTTGGGTTTTCTTTTTCATCTGCCCCAAATGATTGAAATGTTGAAAGTGACACCACATTTGTATCATTCAGTAATGACTCATGTATGTATTGAAAAGCTGAGGAGTTTGTTTTGTAATAAGTAAAATCCTTATCGAGTACAAAGAAAAAAAACACAGTATGTTAATAAAACAGATGGTGAAAATAAAAGCTTTGCAGAGTTTCCTATTTTTCATGGTAGGAAACTGTGCAAAACCAAAACGTCCCACTTTCTGTCAGATGAATCCGAATAGTTCATAAAACCACAAAATTCTCGTGAGGCCTTTTTAATAAATGCCTAGAAAGAAATAAAGAAAGAAAAAGAAAGAAAGAAAGAAAGTTAGTTTATAAGATTTAACCTAAGGACTATTAAAAGTTTTGCATTCGAGGAAAAAAGTAAGATAAAAGACAAAGAGGCAAAACGTGTTCGCATTTATTCCCCAAAATTACGCAGCTTCTCCCATAGACAAGAGCCACTTGTGACCAAAAAGCTACAGAAATCCCCCACTCCTCATGTGCCAGGGGCCGAGGCCGCTGCCGGGCGGTGGCTCTGACGACTCCTGCTCTCCAGCCTGTGCCCCTTGCCGATGAACATTTCGCTGCTGTCACCTCTTGAATGGCCTTTTTCTCCACAGCCGAGGTATCTCGCCGCTTCCTTAGTGTGATTTTCCAGTCCTAAGTCTCCTAGACGCGGTTTGGCTCCCGGAATTTCTGCCTAGCACTTGCTCTCCGCTTGCTTTCAACTTAGATTAGGCCATCATAAGTGAGTAACAGACACCCACTGCCACGGTCGTATTGATTTTTACTCTCCTGTGATATTAAGACTAATTCGGTCCTGGTTCAACAAGTAAAAAGGCTTCCCAGAAGGAGAATGAAGTGTCCTACAGCACTGACTTTATGGTTTATGTGCCTCCCTCCCCGCCTCCCTGTGTTACCCCTTTCCTCCGAAGAGAAATAGATTTGTCGAAAGATAATTATTTTAACTCTGACGGACTCGAGAGCATAAAGCTTGATAGCGCCGGTGGTGCCCTGTGTTATTCTGGCATTTCCCAAACGATTTTAAATCCCTCCAGTTATTTATATCTCGCTTTTCAGCCGGCGCTATTTTTTTTTTTTAAGCTTTATTATATTTACCTGCTGATTCCAAAGCGGAGGCAAGCCTAATTGATTTTTAAAAGATCAGCAGCAGAATTCTAATCCGCTTGGGAACCTGTTTCCACCTGCCAGACGAGGGTCTGATTATCGGTAATTATGTTATTTAAGAGTTGATAAAATAGCGGGCCCCGGCGCTGCCCGGGCCCTTCCCCAGCCGGGGCGCGGAGGGGACCGCGCGGGGAGAGCCGCGGCGCGGCGGGGCCGCCGCCATCACGTGCGCCGCTGCAAACACAATTACGGGGCCGCCGTTAATAATTCATGGGCTGAGATTTAGAAAATTAATAAAATGAATTATAACAAGAGGCTAATTAAAAACTTTAGTAATTGTTGTCAAGACAGCTTGATGGGAGGCGTGCTGCACGACGCTTCCCCCCCCCCCCCCCTTCCTTCCCCCTTCCGCTTTTGGAAAGCTTTTTTTTTTCCTCCCTTGAAACCCCTTCGCACCTGAAGGAGGCTGGGCTCGGGAGAAAAGCAATGGATGGACATATAGGTCAGCTGAATATATAGATCCCAGAGATGAGACCCAGGTGGTAAAACTGCAAGCAAGTCTCTTCTCATCGTAGCAAGATAGATAGGGAAACGGCGGGTGGGTGGGTGCGAGGATGGATGAATGAAACCCAGAGCTCAAAAGTTAATTTAAAATAAGATGTCACATATAAATCTTTGAAGAATCAGTCGCAGCAGAAAGAGTGCCTGCACCGGAGGGCCCCA